TTGATTTTTGAGATATTGAAAAACTTTTTGATTTTTTCAAAAAATCAATAATCCAATCATTAGGAAAAAATTTAAAAAAATTATTCTCAAATGTGGAATCAATTGTCTATCTATTGTTTTTTTAAATTTCAACAAACGGACATAAACTGACAAAGTTATGATTTTTTGAAAATTTAGGCATTTTTTGGTACTTTTTGGACCATAACTCCCAAAAAAAAAATTTTTACCAACTATTCCGTTTGGAATCTAAAATAACTTTTTACGCTCTATCCAACCATATAGGTCTCGATTTTTTTCGAGGGTAACACTTGGGAGTCATTCCATGTAAGTGTATTTTTTTTCATTTGTAAATAATATGTTACTGTTCAATATTTATTTTTAGGGATTTGATAAAGCTGGGGTAAACGGGTAAAAACAGTTTTATACTATCGCTCGAGGTATGCGAAAATCTGGAATCCAAATTCAGAAGATTCTAAAAGTTCAGAGAATTTTCGGATTGAAGTTTGTACAGGAGTATTCCGAGAATTAGAAATTCTGGTTTTTTTAAACTCGAAATATCCAGTAGCTTCGAATATTCAAAAATTCTACCACGCGCACCCCTTATATTGTTCACAAACAAAATCAAAATGATTTCGACCACGGCAGGACTCGAACCTGCAATCCCCAGATCCGAAGTCTGGTGCCTTATCCATTAGGCCACGCGGCCACATTCCCTTCGCATTTCTATTTGGTTGAGGAGGGGAAACAAAACAAGCGAGAGGGAAGAAAGAAAAAAAAAGCGGAGGCCGCCTAGTAAGGAAAAGGAGTAAATAGAACAGATAGGGTTTAACAGAAGAAAAGGGGGGGGGGGGGGGGCTAGGAATGGGAGTGAAAATGAGAACGTTGTTTCAAAAAGATTGGGAAGAGAAAAAGCCTAAATAATCTGTAAGAAAATAGGTATATTTTATTTTGACAGTCACTTTGAAAGAATTAAGAGTCGGAACTTAATTTAGCTGAACATCTGTAACAAACGAAGTTTGTTCCATTAAAATATTCAATAGGCTCCTAAAAACGTTCCGTGTTCACATCGAGACCCTAGTACTGCTTTAGGGTTACTTTTACTCATTCACTTTCACGCGACTACCTGGAGATTCGATCCTTTGAGCCCACCAGAAAGAAAAAAATAGAATAGAATCTATGGCTTCTTAAAATCTGAAAATTTACTATCATAGTTGTGAAAGCTTGCGGACGTTTTTCTTCTGATAATCAAATCACAATTTTGATATTGCCGATTCAGAAAATTGGAAAAGAATTCAAAAGTTGCCTGGGGCATCTACCCTCCAACTCCTTCTAAAGGTTCCCTCTACCCACGCAACGACACTCCGCTATCCCGCTCGGCGCGCGCACAGTTGAAATTTAGTTTTGAGTGATTGCGAGCTTGGATTTGGCTCGTGGTTTTTGAGAGACTCTTTTAAGGATTTTAAGTGAGTTTGCTTGAAGTCTAAGCTTTTATTTGTTGTTTCTTTCTAACTTGTTCATAATAAACCGATTTTGTTACATTTCTTGTTGATTTTCTTCTATTTTATCACAGGAACCTGATACCCCGGACATACCGCGAGCAATTCAAAAAAAAAACTGAATGTGAGTTTTATTTTCAAATCTCAAAAGAGTATCATTTTGTCGCTATAAATCAAATTAAGCATCCTTCGGCTAGTAATCTATACACTGCTGATTATACCCATAATTCAATTGTCCAGATTTTGGGTCAAATTCCAGAACCATTGTGTTTTTGCCATTTCCGAAACCAAACACTAAATATGTGAAAACAATGCGATTCTCCGACAATATCAGCTTTTTGAAGTAGAATGTGTACTTGGTGTTTTCTTTCTGACTAGCAAGATAACGGACAGCTTTGTCTGAAAGAAGAAACAAATTAGCATCAGTCAGTATTCTGTTGATTTGAAATAACCTTTTGAGTAATTGATATCACAGGACAGGTATTGAAAATTTGAGTCAAACAAATCAGCAATCATGTTCGAATTTCGGGTATACATGGTCTCAAGAGCATTGTTAACAAACTCCTCCACATCGCGTTTCGGATTGAACTCTTTTTCGGTTTTAGTGGGAATGTGACGAAGGGGATTCGGTCAACTTGGAAGAAATCAGGTCATAGGAGCTGGGGGACACTACAATCACGGTGAGAAGAGAAGTCGTTGGTAGAATTCGCATTTTGAAGATTTTCGCTGGAGCTATGGAGATATTTTAAGTTACTTGGAACCAGGTCCGCCTATGCCTAAACTCTAAATATCAGAAGCATACTTGTAATCCGGGCCTTTGCCGGGCCTTCGCGGGCCCTGGCATAGTTTCTCTCCGAGTTAATATTTTTGGATTAATAAAATTTGATGTGATAGAACTCGAAAAGTACTACAAAATGATACTATTTATTAACTGTATCTTGTCTATGAACAAATTTACAGGTCAACAAGTTGCTTTTCCATGACGGCCCGGAAAGCCCGGGCCGGGCTAGCGTACCTAATGTTAGACAATTGTGTCGATTACCTTTGTATTCAATGACAAACTCGTCTTTTTGAAAATTGACAGTGGAGCAAATGCATCGGCCCTTGTCGGCATCGTGGAAAACTTGCAAAAGTTCCTCGTTGCTTCCTTTCAGAACCTTCTCAGCCACGGCCTTCTGAGCTTCGTCTTGAAGCTGTTTTTCCGTCTTGCGACCGCTTTTTCGAACCTCGTAGAAATCGGTGATCTTCCATTGATTTTCGTCACGAGGCTTCCTGCAGGACGAGAAACTATACAATTCGAGCAAACGAGCTAATATTTCGTTTTATTTTTTCATTTCAAAAGGGCATGACTTTTGCGGAATTCCTAATTCATATGTTTTGACTAAATCGAAATACCTGATTTTCTTAGGAGCCATATTGGGAACCACATTGTTCTCTCCGTCTCCGGTGATCGACGTGGCACTCTTCTTTGGTGCTCGCTTGGTCTTTTTCGTGAATGGACATCCTCTTGCCAT